ATTTCAGTGCACGAGAAAGCGTGTGTTACTAGCTTTGAGCTTAAATTAAAGCTTCGAAAACAACTCTAACATTTCAAAAGTTACAATGAGTCTACAATGAGTCAATCTTTAAAATCTGCAGAAAAAAGATAAAAAGTAAAGAAGTAGAAAAAGAAAAGAAGAAAAAAGAGAAAAGATCTATAGATATTGGATTGGTGAATTGAAAACTGCGGGCTATTGTCATATGTGACAGTTTGAGCGCTTTCTTCAAAAGAAACCCATTTTGGTGTCAATGGAAAAGTTGTAGAGAATCAAAAATTAAGCTTATATCCAAATTTTCAGAACGATTCAAAAACTGGTTTTCAAGAAATGCGAAATTTACGAATTTTCACAAAACTTGCATTTTAAGCGAAACTACTAAGTGTATCTTTTTGGAAATTTGGCTATAAGCCTAATTCTTGATTCTCTACAACTTTTCTATTGACACCAAAATGGGTTTCTTTTGAAGAAAGTGCTCAAACTGGGATCTCCAGTCTCCATCTCCAGTCCTCCATTTTTGAGTCTCACACTTGTCTCACACACAAACCAAAATCCTACTACGAAAGAGGAATCCGCAAATTGCCTGTAAAATGGGCAGAAGTCGTCAATAATAATGGAAATTATTTGGAATGAATTCATGGTTTTATGTTCAATAAATTTTAGTTCAAAGTCCGGCAGTTTTCAATTCACCAACCCAATAGATTAGGTGATTGAAGACCTAGTATTTGAGATAGCCAAAGTTTAGATTGTTACAGAGATTATAGGTAAATTGCTTAATAAAGAAGTAAAGGAATTAGCAAGAAAGGGTAGATTTGTGGAGATGAGATTGAACCCTCGATCTTTTGCTCTCCGGGCTATCTGGAAACCTTTGCTCTAGGGGCAGAAGTCGTCAATAATAGTCGTCAATAAAACAGCTCTAACATTTCAAAAGCTACAATGAGTCAATCTTTAAAATCCGCAGAAAAAGGATAAAAAGTAAAGAAGTAGAAAAAGAAAAGAAGAAAAAAGAGAAAATATCTGTAGATAATCAATTGAAAGAACGTCATAAGACTAAAGAATTTTGTGAATCCACGGATTTCTATTATTCGATTTCACTTGGTGATGGGGCGGATTAAGAATTCGCGGATTGACTCCTTCTTTTGGCGAGATTTCCCTCTCGTTCCACTTCATGGTTTCCCTTGGATTTCGCCCGCCTTCCTCTCATTTTCCCTTTTCTATCATTTCTCCATTTTGTGTAGATTGACGAAATCATTGGCTCCTCTGACGACTTCTCAACACCGCTCACTTTGTTGTTTAACTGAAAAAGAAATAGAAAAAGAAAAAGAGAAAAACCCTCACGTTTTCCACGAATTTTTGTCTTTTCTTGATTGGTTCCAATCAACATTTCAAATTTCAAGAGTTTTTGGGACGCTTTTCTATAGCTTTAGATATAGGAAAGCTTTAGAATCGGTGACAAACTATTTACAAGTCTGCTTGACAAACTACTTACAAGTCTCTCTTTACATCACGTTTGCAAAAGGCTAATGAAATTTTCGATAGTCTATTCTTCTAGAGTCATTCTTCCAGACTCAAACATCGAAGAGTCATATCTGAGAGTCAAATTTTCCTTTCAAATTTCCTTGACTTAAAGTTGATGTGAAGTTATTCACTACAGTTTATCAAAGACTCTTTTTTTGCTCGCTAAACTTTAGCACCAGATTTTAAGCTCAAAGTCACCAACCGGCTCGGGTCCCAAGTCGCATTGAGTCTCACGAGTCTAAATAAGAAAATAGAGACTAAAAAGCACACTTAAAGTTTCTTTCTTATTTGCTGGACAAGACTCTCGGGGCAGATAGAATTCTTCTCTCAATTTAGCTACTGTTTAAGCAATTGGTCCCAGGAATTGGTCCAGGGGATTGGCCCAGGAATTGGTCTAAGGAATTGGTCCCAGGAATTGGTCCCAGGAGTTGGTCCCTGGAGTTGGTCCCAGGAGTTGGTCCAGGGAATTGGTTCAAGGAATTGGTCCCAGGAATTGGTCCCAGAAATTGGTCCCAGGAATTGGTCCGGGGAATTGGTCCAGGGAATTGGTCCCAGGAGTTGGTCCCAGGAATTGGTTCAGGGAATTGGTTCCAAGAATTGATCCAGGCAATTGATCCAGGCAATTGGTCCCAGGAATTGGTCCAGGGGATTGGCCCAGGAATTGGTCCAGAGAATTGGTCCAGGGAATTGGTCCCCGGAGTTGGTCCCAGGAATTAGTCCAGGGAATTAGTCCAAGGAATTAGTCCAGGAAATTGGTCCCAGAAATTGGTCCCAAGAACTTGAGCATAGTGTCGCCCAAACCCGCGAAACCGGCTCATTCTCTTACCACTTCACGGATTCCATAAGGGAAGCATTTTATACTCGAGTGGTATGCCAGAAAGATAGCGATTACATACGGGCACAAAGAACACTTTGTCATTCAGCGATATATGGACTTCTCTTTTGCTTTGTAGATGGCCCAAAAGAAGATATAGAGCTATAAATTTGTACCCAGGGGTTTTCGGATTCGGGGAATCGATTGGGTGTATTCATTTTATTGAGGCTAGCAATTGGAACTAATTGCAAGTCTACCAATTGGTTTAATTGATCCAAACTTTTAGATAAATTCGGAAACGTATCAGACAAATGAAATTGACGTACCAATAAAAGCTTTGTTGATGCAATTTTGAAATCCGTCGCTACGGGATCCTAAATTTCCAATTTTCCCTGAAGAAGTCATTCATCAAACCAAAAACATCCGAACTTGATAATCGACAACTTGTTCCTAAAAGTTGTAATAGAGTATTCAGTAATAGAGTATTCAGTCCAGACTCTCTGGATTCCGGTATTCAATCTAGAATAGGATATTCAGTCTAGAATAGCTAGATTACGGTTATTAGTCCAGATTAGGGTATTTAGTCTAGATCATAGTATTCAGTCTAGCTCAGAGTATTCAGTCCAGACTGTCTGGATTACGGTATACAGTCTAGAACAGGATATTCAGCCTAGAAAAGCTAGATCACGGCATTCGGTCAATATAGAGTATTCAGTCTAGAATAGAGCATTAAATTGCAATGATTTTTAAAAGAATTCTTTCAAACCAATTTCCCTTTTGAAGCATCAAGTGAGATGAGACCTCGAAAAATCGGCTAAACAAATTTTTGACTTTTAAATTTAGTTTTTTTTACAGTAGGCGGAGTTCCGGCGAAGAGGGTTAAGTTCAGATCCTCAAGTTCTTGAATTGGCGGTTTGTAATCCTAAGAAAAAAGTTTCTAAAAGAAGAATTTTTTGAAAACTTACAGGAAACGGAAAGTAGATTCTTTGTGGAGATCTCAGAAATCTTCGTAAAGTTGGATCTTTGGATTGTTCAGATGGCATTGTAGATGTAGAAAGTCTAAGGATTAATAGCTTTTCAAAGTGGAATGGAATTAAATGGAATTAACTGGAATCAAATGGAATTAACTGGAATCAAATGGAATTAAATGGAATCAACTGGAACCAACTGGAATCAACTGGAATCAACTGAAATCAATTGGAATCAACTGGAATCAACTGGAATCAACTGGAATCAACTGGAATCAAATGGAATTAACTGGAATCAAATGGAATTAAATGGAATCAACTGGAATCAAATGGAATCAACTGGAATCAAATGGAATCAATTGGAATCAACTGGAATCAAATGGAATCAATTGGAATCAACTGGAATCAAATGGAATCAACTGGAATCAACTGGAATCAAACTAGAGTCTACTGGAACAATAGAGAATTTGACAAAATAAGTGTTTTTAAGGCACAAATTTCCCGCCAAAAGCAACTCTATGAGTTGATTATTTGAAGGAAAGAGTCAAACGCTGATCGAAGCAGAGTTATTTCATCAGTTTTGGGCTTTAGACTTGGCTTGGCTCACTGGTTAGTGAGCCAAGTCATGCCAGGCCAAAGTCCGGTCAGATGTACGGGATCCATAATATCACAACTTAACACACAACCCCTACGGTCATAAGACTCTAATACCTAGTACCCTACTGCCCTCATATTCCTAAAGATCTTGCAGAGAAAAAAAATCCATGTATATGAAAAGAGGGAAATTTTCTAGCTGCTGGAATCGAACCCGTGGCCTCCCGATTAGAATACAAGACTCTTAACCACTCGGCTTTAGAGGCTGGAGGCTTTACAACATATTGCAGAGGAAAATCCATTTATATGAAAAGAGGGAAATTTTCTGAATCGAACCCGTGACCTCCGACTTCGACCTCCGATACAAGACTCCGATCTAGGATACAAGACTCCTAACCACTCGGCCATGGGGCAAACAACCTTGAATCGAGCCATACTCCTTCCACTTAATTCTTTAAACTTAATTCTTGTAATTAATTCTTTAAACTTCACAATTCAATCCAAAATTCTAAATCAAATGTGCCAGAAAGGGACGGTTTTTATTTCTACAAAGGGGATGCCCACTGCTCACCACGCGGAGGTGACTGGACGTCGAGCAGTGCCCTCCCACTGGGCCTAATGGTCGCACAGCAGGAGTACGGACTGTGGGGGGCCTAGCCTGGTGGGGAATCCATCCCCTGGGGCCTAATGGCTGGCTTAAGGGGGATGGAGTGCGGGAATGTGGAGTGGAGTGGAGTACAACGAAAACCAACGATTCGATGCCCACAAAGAAGCTCATTCACTAAAAATAATAACGCCAAAGTCCACCTTGAATGTCCCATTTCTCATTTCCTTTCCATATTCTCGCATTTATTATAAATTCGGCGAAACTTGAGCCGAAACTGAGGCGAAACTCGGCCCTTTCTCTTCAAACGATCGCCTATTCGTTGCTCTTTCTACCGTACTTCAAATCCTATCTGCTCTTCCGGATCCTTTTCACCCCTAAACTCTATTTTCTTCTTCAATATTTATAGCTTGTAACTGGTGAAAGAATCTCTGAAATTTTATTTCAATGTTCTAAATAAAATTCTCATTATATTTTCTCAATTATGGCCTCGGCTAAAGTGGATAAACTCATCAAATCGATCAATGGCTTGGAGACGACGCTGAAGCAGAAAGAACAGCACACACCACCGTGAGTTATACTTTTAATTTAACATTTATAAACTTAGTATTGTAAATTATTGTTAACCAGCAAAAAAAAGGAGAAATTGGCAGCACGGGGAGTCGAACCCGCGACCTCTCTCTTCCGTTCGTTTGAGAAACGGTTTGAAAGTTCGTTCGTTTAACCACTCGGCCAGTACACAGTACACAGGACAGTACACAGTGCGAGCACACTTGTCTCTAACCCACACGACCCGGGTTCGACTCCCCACCCACGTCAGCACTTTTGATTTTTTGAAAATTTGAAAACCTGTTGCATAACTATATGGAATTCTATAACGACACAACTACAGGGTGACCAAGAATGACCACAACACAAGCTGGGCTGGCTTTTAACCAAATAAAGCCTGGCTTTTAACCAAATAAGGCCTGGCTTTTAACCAAATAAGGCCTGGCTTTTAACCAAATATGCAACCCATCTCGAAAAGTTAACTTAAATATCTTTATTCAACATATAACAGTAACAAATTAACAATTAAATTCAAATTTGCCTCCATCGGCATTCAGACAAGCCTGCAAACGTTTGGGGAAACGCGTTGACCAACATATAACAGTTGACAACATATAACAGTAACAGTAACAGTAAGCGCGTTGACAGTGGCGAGCAAATGGGCATCATCGAGGGTATTCCATGCTTTGATGAGCGCCTTCTTCAAACTTTCGATATTCTTATGTGGTTTTGCACATGCCCTGGCTTCAAGAACACTCCAGACTGAGTAATCCAATGGGTTAAGGTCGGGTGAGCTGGGTGGCCACTCAGAAAACGAGATGAAGTCCGGGAAGGTCTTTGAACAAAACTCTTGCACTTTCTTTGCCTTGTGAGCCGGCGCACCATCTTGTTGATAAGTCCAAATTCGATTTTTGAAGTGGCGTTGAGCCAAAGGAACAACCTCCTTATTTAGCAAGTGCCAATAATTCATCGCATTTACTTTCACACACTTGAAGCCGATTGGTTAGGGTTTAAACATAGACGATCACGCACTTTCTTGGCATTAGCCGGAGTAACCGCTGTTCGTTTTGCACCTCTTCCACGGCGATCAGATCCCTAGATCGATCAGAAACGTTGAATGGTTTAAGAAACGAGGCTTCTGAGGACATTCAGGACTTCTGAGGACTTTGAGATCTCGCTCGCCTGAACACGCTGCCGCTTGAGCTCAAGGATCGATTGTCGACGTGGAGACGCTGTCACCATTCCTGAAAACAATCATACTTGAATTATTGAAGTATTGAAAGTTAGTAATCATACCATAAAATAAGAAAAATACACCAAAAACCATAAAAACAGGTAAGCAAAAAGTGAAATGGGGCTCATAACATAATACGACGTTGTTGCGGTAATTCTTGATCACCCTGTACTGTACAGCCCCAGGTCTTCCACCTGGGCTCAAGGATCGATTGTCGATGTGGAGCTCAAGGATCGATCGTCGATGTGGAGCTCAAGGATCGATTGTCGATGTGGAGCTCAAGGATCGATCGTCGATGTGGAACTCAAGGATCGATTGTCGCTTTCGCCATTCCTGAAAACAATCATATTAATGTATTGAAAGTTAGTAATCATACCATAAAATAAGAAAAATACACCAAAAATCATAAAAACAGGTAAGCAAAAAGTGAAATGGGGCTCATAACATAATACGACGTTGTTGCGGTAATTCTTGGTCACCCTGTAGATAGAATTCTATAAAATTCTATCAATTATCCGGAAAACGTTCAGGAAAAAAGCGGCCACAAACGACAAAGAGCGGCAATTTTGTGCGGAAATTCGCGAGATTTTGGCGTCATCCGATGTGAGCAATATAATAAAAGTAAGTAATAGATTAGATATAATAGATTCGATTTAATAGATAAAATTAGAGTAAACGTATTTTAGAATGATAAAAGATGTGAAAATGAATTCACCCGAGCCGTTGAACTCCTTTTCAACCTCGTCAATCACACCGATCAATCGCTTCGGACACTGGCCGAGGAAACGCTTGATGCGATTTTTCGGGTAAACATTGAGTAAACATTGAGTAAATGATTGAAAAACATCTTGAAAAAAGGCATTTTATAAGAATTTGATTCAAATTTGATTCAAATTTGATTCAAATTTGAATCAAATTAAGTTGTCGCAAAGAATGGCCCATCAAGATCTCTTGTAGCAGCTTTAAATCGACTCTGCTCATTAATCTTATAAGATCTTATAAGAATTTGTTTCAAATCTAAGAGCTAAAGAAGGAAAAAGTTCCAGGAAAAAGTTCAATTCCAGGAGCAACTCCTCGCTTTTCAACACGCACGAGTGATTGTCCGTTTGATCACCGTTGTTGCAAAGAATGGCCCATCAAGATCTCTTGTAGCAGCTTTAAATCGACTCTGTTCATTAATCCAATACAGTAAAGCAAATCGATTAACGTGAGTAAAATGGAGATGTTTTTAAAACAGCGCTCAATAGAAAATGTTCAAAACATTGGCGTCAAATTTCTTACAATCCAATAAACCAATTCGGTTCAAGTTTTATATCAAAAAAAACTCCTTACTTTCTTGGCTACATAATGAATAAAACAGTTTTTAAAAAGTAAATATATAATAGATAAAAAGAGGGGTCAAAATGAGCCTCTAAAGATATTCAGCTAACCAACGCAGACACACATTTTGAATGCTCTTTTTATCTATTATATATTAACTTTCTTTAAAAACTGTTTTACTCATCATGTAGCAAAGAAAGCAAGGAGTTTTTTGATATAAAAATTGAACCGGATTGGTTTATTGGATTGTGAGAAATTGTGCGAAATTTGACGGCACTATTTTGTACGTTTTCGATTATGACGGCACTGTTTTGAACGTTTTAACGGAGCTTAAAACAGAATTTTTTGATAATAATAATATAATAATATAATAATATAATAATATAATAATATAATAACATAATAATATAATAGCATAATAATATAATAGCATAATGGCATAATAATATAATAACATAATAATATAATAGCATAATAGCATAATAATATAATAGCATAATGGCATAATAATATAATAACATAATAATATAATAGCATAATAATATAATAGCATAATGGCATAATAATATAATAACATAATAATATAATAGCATAATAGCATAATAATATAATAGCATTAATATAATAGCATAATAATATAATAACATAATAATATAATAACATAATAATATAATAGCATAATAGCATAATAGCATAATAATATAATAACATAATATAATATAATAATATAACAGTAACAAATTAACAATCAACTTCAAATTTGCCTCCATCGGCATTCAGACAGGCCTGCAAACGTTTGGGAAACGCGTTGACCAACATATAACAGTAACAGTAACAGTAAGCGCGTTGACCGTGGCGAGCAAATGGGCATCATTGAGGGTATCCCATGCTTTGATGAGCGCCTTCTTCAAGCTTTCGATATTTTTATGTGCTTTTGTACATGCCCTGGCTTCAAGAACACTCCAGAGTAATATAATAATATAATAATATAATAATATAATAATATAATAATACAATAATATACCGTATTTCTTCGAATAGAAGACCGGGTAAAGAGCATGATCGCGTCCTCCTGCGTAGCAGCCCTTTTTAAAATTTCTTTTCTGCATAAAAGCCTTCAATGAAGTGCTATAGGGCTGGAAAATGACTCAAAAATACCACATGAGCTAACAGATTTTTGAGTCATTTTCCAGCCCTATAGCACTTCATTGAAGGCTTTTATGCAGAAAAGAGATTTTAAAAAGGGCTGCTACGCAGGAGTACGCGATGATACTCTTTACCCGATCTTCTGTTCGAAGAAATACGGTAATAACATAAAAACATAATAATATAATAACATAATAACATAATAATATAATAACATAATAGCATAATAATACAATAATGTATACTTTATTCTTGAAATAAAGTGGTGGTGAAAAAAAGGGACATAATTCATTAGTTCATCGTTTGATTTGGTTATCAAATGATTAACCTTAGCATAAAGCACAAGCTGATCTGAAAATCTGAAAAGCTGAAGATCTGAAGTTACTTTTTTAATTTTCAGCTCTTACGGTGTTCATATTGTGAACGCATTGACGATGATCTTGAAGAGGCCAGAAGAAACGGTACAAACCGCGTTGGAGAAGGGAATACCAAAGATTTTCGACGTTCTTGGACCAAGAATCAGGGAACAACATGTGGATAAAGCATATGTAAATCTCCGATTTCCAAACTTCTAAACTTTTTTTGATAAAATCTAGGATCTATATCGAGCAGCCGTCGAGAATCTGGACCTCTCTGGATCAGCAGGAAGATCGGCCGTCACAATAATCACCCAGATTTGCCAATATTACACAGTTATCCTCAGAAAGGTATGGTCAAATGATTGTTTCAAATCTAGTAAACGTAGTAACTTTATCTAGTAATCTCGTATCTCGTAGTAATCTAGTAAACGTAGTAACTCTAGGTTTTGTGGCAATGTTGAGATGTCTTGATTTGTTTTTTTATTGAGATTGGAAAACGGAAATCCTTTACAGATTTTCTTTTAGGTAATGCTGCGTTGCCTTGCCACAATTCGAAATCCTGATGAGAATGAAGCTCGACAAAGATTAGTTGGATCGTTGAATGTGGTGAAGAGTGTTTGGAAGTTGGCTGTCGGTGTCGAAACCGCTGACACTTTGAAAGGAGTGAGTTTGAATCGAGTTTGGAATGGTAAATGGAAACTAGGGGAAAATTATGGGAAAACTATGGGAAAACTATGAAACAACAATTAATAGAAACTTCTGAGTCGTAAATTTTCACAACGGGCAACGATTTACAGGATTTACAGGATGCTGGAGAATTACATAGGCACCTGAATGCATCTCAAGCAAATCCTATACAAATTTCATCTAAAAGGACTAAGTATTATAGATCATTTAAAAGCTTGAAGTCTCCCCTAAAATAATGTACATTTGAGGTTTTGATGAGAGCGTTTCGTCACCAACCAGAGTTGGATTCTTGCTAACTAATTTCGGCACCGGCACGTTAAATTCCCACATAGCAATCGACTCTTTGAAGCACGATTTGGTTAATAATGGAAAGGAAAGAATCTAGGCTCAAGAGTGGATCGCTAAGAACTTTCGAGATTGGATCCCCATTGATGTCAGCTCTGGTGGATGGCCATCGAAATCGCCTGATTTCGATCCTCTCAATTATTAAGAATGGTTCAAACAGAAGATCAAACAGAAGATCAAATAGAAGATCAAACAGAAGATCAAATAGAAGATCAAACAGAAGATCAAAAAGAAGATCAAATAGAAGATCAAAACTTGATCTAGAATGAATCAAATAGAATAATCAAATAAAATAATCAAATAAAATAATCAAATAGAATAATTGAGAGGATCGAAGTCAGGCAATTTCGATAGCCATTCACCAGGAGTCTGTGAGCTGACTCCTGTGAGCACATCAATGGGGATCCAATCTCGAAAGTTCTTAGCGATCCACTCTTGAGCCTAGATCCTTTCCTTTTCTAGATTTGCAAGTCCTTTTTGCTTTTTATATTTAGCAACATCTAATAATAGTTATTAATAATAGCTTCAAAGAGTTGATTGATGTGTGGGATTTAGTGCAAGTCTTTGTCCAGAACGGTTCAAATAGAAGATGAAATAGAAGATCCAATAGAAGATGAAATAGAAGATCCAATAGAAGATGAAATAGAAGATCCAATAGAAGATCAAATAGAAGATCCAATAGAAGATCAAATAGAAGATCCAATAGAAGATCAAATAGAAGATCCAATAGAAGATCAAATAGAAGATCCAATAGAAGATGAAATAGAAGATCCAATAGAAGATCAAATAGAAGATCCAATAGAAGATCAAATAGAAGATCCAATAGAATAATTAAAAGCAAATGAATAGTTTATCCTAATAATAGTTAAAAGCAAATCAAAAAAAAAGAGAAAACAATTCAAAGCAGCTGATTACAAAGTCCTTTTCATAATTCGATTGATATGTGTACAAGTCTAGTAGTACAAGTCTAGTAGTACAAGTCTTTGTCCAGAACGGTTCAAACGGAAGATCAAATAGAACCCCCAGAACGTAGATTTTTCAATTTTTTTATTACAAAATGCATCTTATCTTAAAGAATCAAGATATCAAATCGATTCAACTTGATAATTTGATAGTTAGCAAACAAATACAAACAAACGAACAAACACATCATTACCAATCATTTTTTCAGATCATTACCGGCATTCTTCTTTGTCTTTGCTCTGGCCACAACGATGTGATTGAAGCATCTTTGAAGGTATAGATTTTCTACTTTCTAATTGGCCCAAAGAAAGCTGAGAAGACAGACGGACAGACAGAGAGACGGACAAACACTTCCGTTTTATATAGCAGATTTCTATATAGCAGTTTTTCGCAATTTGATACTTATCAAGAGAAAGAATAGCAATTATTAACTGCAATTTTGTTTTCAGGCTCTCTGTGAAATCATGTCTTCTCCTTTATCCGATATGCAATTTTACCCACCGACTTTTACCAATAATATTCTCGAGAGAGGAGCGCTTGGCTCAGAGAAAGGAAATCACGATGAGAGTTATAATGAAGGTTTGTTTAAATACAAAAGATCACTCAATTTTACTCAAGCTCATGGCTTACTAGTTTTATTTAAATTTATAGCTTATCTTCATGATCATGATCATTATTATCATGGCCATAAAGTTTCAGGTTCATCAATGGCCTCACTTGTTTCCTCACCAATCGGATCGACTCTCGATTTGAGCGTAGCTGATTCAATCGAACCGATGAATGCCGAATATATGGAACCCCTAGAAATCCCAGATCAAGAATCAACCGGCACATTGAGCGATGATGGCACAGAGGTTTGTTAAGTTCTTAAATCCAGCTAGCTCTGTCCAGCTGGAATCCAGCTAGCCGTGTCCAGCTGGGATCCAGCTAGCCGTGTCCAGCTGGAATCCAGCTAGCCGTGTCCAGCTGGAATCCAGCTAGCCGTGTCCAGCTGGAATCCAGCTAGCTCTGTCCAGCTGGGATCCAGCTAGCTCTGTCCAGCAGGGATCCAGCTAGCTCTGTCCAGCTGGAATCCAGCTAGCTCTGTCCAACAGGGATCCAGCTAGCTCTGTCCAGCAGGGATCCAACTAGCTCTGTCCAGCTGGGATCCAGCTAGCTCTGTCCAGCTGGAATCCAGCTAGAATATTTCCATGAACTACAGAAACTAAAGGCCTGTAATAGAGCTTTTTCTTTTCTAGTCTACTCAATTCTTTTTACGTTAAAACCCTTGCTTTAGCTTCAGTCTTGAATTAAAGAAAAATTGATAAATCATCGATTTTAGCAAGGCGAAATCATCGACCCATTGCTTCATTCGGATTTGTATGAAGAACAACGACAAGAAGAAGAAGAAGCAAAGAAACATGAGCTCTCACAGCAAGTTCAATCACCACAAACACCGCGAAAAGTAGAGGGAATCCCAAAGAAGTTGCCTGAAGGATTTTGTGAGTTTTTGGAAATCTGCTAATCTTTTGTATTACAAAATTTCGTAAGCTTGAGCTGAACTGAATCCTGTAAGCTTAGTGTTCACGAATGAAATGAACAAGCAAAGTAAACCTGTCTACTATAGCTGTAGTGTCATCTACCTGTCTACAGATGTCATTAGATTTCCTGATTTAGCTTTAGATTAACCCGAAAAATGATTTTGGACAATTCTACAACATTTTGACATTTATTGAACGTAAAATTTTTGAATTACCTAGTTTAGATAGGTAATTCGAACTAGTTTAGATTCTGAATCCGTCAATTGCTTTATCTACTCAGGACTTTTGATAGCAAAGCAATTTCTCCTTGCCGGGATTAAAGGATTAAAAAGTGATCGAGAGGTTAGTGAATAAAGAAGGAAATTAAGAAAAGTTTCGAAAATTCTAGGTTCGAATCTCCCACAAAATTTTGGCGTTGAATTGCTTGAAGATGATTGCTCAAATGGATCCCTCAATCGGAAGAAGTCACGTGCAATTGGGTCAGTATATTACCTTTCAAATATTGAACTATTAGGTTGAACTATTAGGTTGAACTATTAGATTGAACTATCAGAAATTCTTTGAAATATTAGGTTCAACTATAGTCTAAAGTCAAGCTAAAGTCTATAAATCTAAAGTCAAACTTTGGTTGTCAAACTTTCAGGTGGTTGTGATCAAACGATTTCTGAAATTGCTCGATTTGTGCTTCATGATGACGATGGTTTGTGTGGTGGAGCGATCGATTTCATCGTTACTTGCGATCGTCAGGCGCTTCGAATGGGAATCGCTTTGACAGGTTAAGATTATGCCAATCTAAAGGTAGCGAAGAGCAATGGATCATTTATTTTACTACTAGCAACCCTAATAACACCACGTACCGTAAAAACTCTAGACGGTCATTGTCTATTTGACGACCACTCTCCATTAGACGGTCACTCTCCAATAGACGGCCACTCTCCATTAGACGGTCACTCTCCAATAGACGGCCACTCTCTAATAGACGACCACTCTCCATTAGGCCACTCTCCAATCGACGGCCATTCTCCATTAGACGGTCACTCTCCAATAGACGGCCACTCTCTAATAGACGGCAACTCTCCATTAGGCCACTCTCCAATAGACGGCCACTCTCCAATAGACGGCCACTCTCCAATAGACGACCATTCTCCATTAGGTCACTCTCCAATGGGCCTTAGGCTTAGGCTCAGGCTTAGGCTTAGGCTTTGGCTTTGGCTTTGGCTCAGGCTCAGGCCTGTTTTAAAATGTAGAACGAGCTTGATTCTTTTGGAAACACTGTTGCCTTTCCCGGACAGGCTATTATTAGCTAAAGAATGCATTTGCCCCCTTCAGAATTGGTCAACCCTCATGTAAAATTAAGGTTTACGGTAATCCATAGCCTAAATATAAGCATTCTGAAGAACTATTTAACTATTTAGACTTTAAATCTAAATTTAAATAACTATTTAGACATGTTCCCTTACTGCGTTCAACGCGTCGAGCACGTTTTTCAACAGAAAAGGAAACGAGCGCTACTCCTCGCGACTATCGACTCGATGGTAGCTCTGAATTTGAACTTACATACCGAAAATAGAGCAAAAGAGCTAGATATTTAAGAGCTAGAGATTCAAGAGCTAGAGATTTCAATAGAGCGAAAGATCTAGAGATTTAAGAGCTAGAGATTTCAGACTTTGAACAATTTCAATCTTTTAGGAGCTTCTCCTTCACTACGATCTCTTCTCAAATATTTGCCGTCTCACCGTTGAATCTGTGACTGGATCGTATAATTTGTACAAGGTTCGGAAAGCTTTTCGCTTCTAGTTTTTTACTTCTTCATTTTTTACTTGTTCAGAACACATCAGCGCAATGGATTTCTTCAATAAAATGGTCAATATTGGCACCGAAATTGCGCGAAGAATGGCAGAAAGTATGTCTCTCGACCTTTCTACAACTTCTCTTCATCGGCGAGCCTTCCGTTGAGCAAGAAGTCGCTGAATTGTTTCCAAGGTGAAGCTTTAATTCATTTTCAACATCAAGCTGTTATTGGGGATTCGATTTTCTGATTAATCCATAAATGTATTTGCAGATTGGTGAAGAATTCTGAGCTCGGCGCTCTCACAAACGTTTTCCACTTTACACTCCCAGAAAACCACGTCGGCGAATGTTTTGACGAGATTCCAGTGGTATTTTTTGAAACTTAATGACAAGTTAAGAGAGTTTAAAACTTTATAATCAAAGTTTGCAAACAATTTACTTTACAATCACTTTGCAATCACTTTACGATAGAAAAGCTTGTGAGTTCAATAGTTCAATAGTTCAATAGTTTAATTGTTCAATAGTTCAATAGTTTAATTGTTCAATTGTTCAATAGTTCAATTGTTGAATAGTTTAATAAACTTTAAAAGCATTTCAGGTCCTCGGCCTCCCCTCACCATATTCATTTCGAAACGAGGCCGTCGATTTCATTCACGAAGAGAATCTTGAGTTTATTCTATCAGAAATGTTAAAGATGGCCTCAAGAAATATCACTGAATCCACGGTTTTTTCTTTATCAAGAATTTAAACGTTTTTGATTTCAGTCGGGTTTAATCTCGGGTTTGGCAATCCTCGTCGAAGCGTTTCCCCCATCATTCTACCGAGAGTGCTGGCAGAGTGCATTCAGGGTTAGCAATTTTATCAAAGCTTTATGGCTAGCAATGTTATTAAAAGCTTTTCATGAAGTTTTTTTTATAGATATTTTATTAGATTTTCAACTCAATAGCTGAACATTGTCACTAAAATTTGATTTTAAACATGTTAAATGCCTCAAATGTCAACTGCCAATTCTTGCCAATTTTGCTCCCGAAAAATCAATCATATCATTGGAATCATTTGAATCATTAGAGTCATTGGAAGATCATTGGAAAGATCTATATTTTCTCTGCAAAATTGTTGTTGGCAAAAGCAAAAGCTTTTCTGAAAAGCTTTGGTTTTTCGGGAGCAAAATTGGTAAGCAAAATGGGAGGCGAGTAGGCAAATTGGCAAGAATCGACAATTGACAACTTTACAGTTTACTTTACAACCAAATAGCAATACAATCAATATCATTTTCAGGGTCAATCCGGAGCCGTCGGTCTTTTGTCACTCGTTGTTGAGATGGGCGAGTTGAGTGCCGGTTCTTCACAAACGCTCATCAAAACTTTCGCCGTGGTGTCGAATTTATTTGCTGGTTTGTTTTGATTGAAAGTTTTCAACTAGTTTTCCACCTAGTCTTACCCTAGTTTAAAATTGAACATTTGAAATCTTTGCTCCGAAGAACTCAAAATTCAACATTCACAGGTCAAATGGAGGGCCAACTGATGCGCGTTGTTCATGAGCAGATGATTCCCGATCGAAAATCTTTGCCAAAGCAATTGGACTCACTTCTAACGGAGAGACTCGTTTTGCTGCCATTGAGGTATAGAAGTTTGAAAATTCGAGTTTTGTTCTTATCTAGGACTGGTTCTCGAAGCCAGATCAGACTTGGCTTGACCTTGGATGGCCTACAAAATTTTTAAGGTCAAGGTCAACCATTCCAAAAGAGTATAGCCTCGCTGGCTTGGCAATTTGACCTTATTGCAATTTGGCAATTATTATACGAGCATGACCGACTGGTTAGGAATTCCCTCTCCCGATCAGAATCCGATCAGATCAGAGTATCAGAGGCTCGATCAGAGTATCAGAGGCTCGATCCCGCCGGGTCCACATAAAATTGGGTTTTTCTTTCCAACATTGTAGGCGTGTATTGTGTTGAGTTGTAGGCGTTGTTGTAGGCGTTGTTGTAGGCGTTGTTGCAGGAGTTGTTGTAGGCGTTGTTGTAGGAGTTGTTGTAAGAGTTGTTGTAGGCGTTGTTGTAGGCGTTCTTGTAGGCGTTATCGTCTTTTATCACATTATGCTTGTGAATAAATATATTGTTAGAATAAGTCCTGGTAGAATCTGACTCTATCTCACAAGGAAAAGCACAAGTCTGAGGTGGCCAAATGATATAAGCCATACACCATTTTGCGCAGAATTTTACACTGCTTCCGATGCTGCTATCCGATTTTGTAAAATGATTCAAAAACGGGAGGAATCTGGCAAACTCTAGCATCTGGAAAATCTGGTCAAATTGGAGGTCAAAAATCATCCACTTTATAGATTGCTGTGTTGTTAATCAGTGCCTATAAAGCTTCTTTCACCGTCGTGAGACGCGGGCACGCTGGTGTAACGGCTAAGGGTCTCGTTTCCGAAACAAGCCTTCCAACTTTTGCTCGGGTTCGATCCCTTCCTTTTGTTTTCATTTTATTTTGATGTTTAACCGCTCGAATTCGCTCTATTTTAACTTTACAATAAGTATTATGACATCATTTAATGATATTTAATGATTTAATGACAATTTTAACTATGACAAATTGATAAAAAACAAAATAACAAAAAATTAACACACAGCAATCTATTGATTTTTGCTCTCTAATTTGATCACTTGTTTTCCAGATTCCTTGCGTTTCCGAATCATTTTGGAGAAACGAATAGCAGGATTGGAATCAGCGTAAAATTCTGCGTAAAATGGTAGATGGCTCATGTCATTTGGCCATCTCAGTCTTGGGAACAGCCTTGTCAAATTGCCGTATTTTCTCTAATAGTAGTGCACCCTGAGCGTTGCCTAAATTGCTCGAAATCTCGAGAACCGCTTATCAGAACCTATCGATGTGGGGTCGGAAAATGTAGCTGACGATGAGATCTTGTGGGGGATTTGAGTGTTGAGCTTCTGCAAAAGCTTGGAAACCGTAAAATAGGCATCAACTCGGCTCGACTGGATGCACTACTATTAGAGAAAATCTTCCCCGTTAACGGTAATCTTCCCCATTAACTCAATTTTCGTTTTACAACTTGATACAACAGTTTACAATTATCGTTTTATCACTAAGCCTTTACCTTTTTAGAGTGCTCAATGTCTACTACTCGTTAGTCACCGAGCATCGATCCCTTCAAAACCAATCGTCAACCGGGCTTCTCTCTCGACCGAATATCACTCAAATCAGCAATATCAAAACAGCTAGCTCCGCAAGGTTATATGATTTTAAAATCAAATAATAATCGCTTTTAGAATCGCTGACATCTCTCGCTTGCTTGGAACAAGTATTCATCCGACAAAATCGAGCTCTTTCCTCGAGTCACCCTCTCTAAAGACGATGTTCCCGCAAATTCGTGGAGCTTATCTAAACTTTTTGGTAAGATCTAATGATTCTAGATCTAATCTAGATCTAATTCTAGATCTAATTCTAGAATTAAATCTAATTCTAGATCTAATTCTAGATCTATTCTAGATCTATTCTAGATCTAATTCTAGATCTAATTCTAGATCTAATTCTAGAATTAAATCTAATTCTAGATCTAATTCTAGATCTATGCTAGATCTATTCTAGATCTAATTCTAGATCTATTCTAGATCTAATTCTAGATCTAATTCTAGATCTATGCTAGATCTATTCTAGATCTAATTCTAGATCTAATTCTAGATCTAATTCTAGATCTATTCTAGATCTATTCTAGATCTAATTCTAGATTTAATTCTAGATCTAATTCTAGATCTAATTCTAGAATTAAATCTAATTCTAGATCTAATTCTAGATCTAATTCTAGATCTAATTCTAGATCTATGCTAGATCTATTCTAGATCTATTCTAGATCTAATTCTAGATCTATTCTAGATCTAATTCTGGATCTATTCTAGATCTAATTCTAGTTACTGTAAAGCCAAATCTTTGTCTGACTACAGATTTATATGCAAATTTTCATTTAGGAGAAAATCGGCTTCGAACAAGATCGCCGTTTCATCGAGCTTTTATCTTCAGCATTGGATTGTCTCTGTGTCCTTCTTGAAATGGTCACATATCAAGCAATTCGCCCGCTATTGGAAGAGATCTTGTTGTACTTAAAGGTATAAATCTAAATGGAGAATTTCCATTCTTTCATCACTGATACTTCACTGATACTTCACTTTTTACGTCTAGATCATTTTCGAATTGGATCCCCATCATTGTACTCGAGTCTTGCATCAACTCTTCAAATTGATCTTCGGGAAAAATGCGACAAATATCAATTTGGAAACTCTTCAGCAACTGAATATGAAACATCCATTGCCTCCATCGGGTAAATCCAAAAAAGAAATAAACTTAATATTGGGTTGTCCAGTTATGAATGCGCGTCTTTACTATTTTGTAAATTTCTCAAGACATCGAAGAGATGTTTATGAGTGTTATATATCATTCGAAAGCTGAAGGTCTCCTCTACATTTTGATATAAAAAGCTTTGGAATTTGTTCAGCTTTTGGGCAAATTGATTGCACAAAGGGAGAGGTCGTTTTCGAAAAAATTCATTTCAGCTTAGCTATTCCTCAAGTTTTATGGTGTAAAATAACCGCCCAGAAAAGAAACGAAAAGTAAAGATGCTCTGAAATTGTTATATTTAAAAAAAAGTTATATTGATATATCTATTGGCCAAACATCAAACGGTTAACTCAATTTGAGCGGAGCCAAAACTTGATCCAAAGGCCCCCTTCCATTTTTTGGCCACCTCTTCTTCTGTGCTATCAATTTGCCCAAAAGCTGAACAAATTCAAAAACTTTTTATATCAAAATGTAGAGGAGATCTTCAGCTTTCGAATAATACTAATAGATACCTTTTTCTTGATTTCGGTATCTTGAGAAATTTATAAAATAGTAAAAAACGCGCATTCATAACTGGACAACCCAATATTTTAAAATTCAGATAAACTTGACATGTACCTTGTTCGCTCGATCAACGAATTCACCCTTTTTGCCGCTTTTCTGAACAGAGCCGAATTTCTCGATGTTTATGTCAGAAGGTGAGGCTAGATTTGAATCCAATTTTCTATTAATTAACAAAGAAAACTGATATTTTGTGTGTAAAAGTGGCCACAGGATAAACAAAAGTATCACGGTTGCAGTACAGGGTCGTCCAATATTATAGCGCCACACTTCAGAGAGCCTAGATTGGTCTAGATTGACCTAGATTGGCCTAGATTGACCTAGATTGGCCTAGATTGGCCTAGATTGGCCTAGATTGGCCTAGATTGGCTTAGATTGGCCTAGATTGACCTAGATTGGCCTAGATTGGCCTAGATTGACCAAAATTGAATCAATCGTTCTGATTTTTCTGGAGATAAATCTTTAGTATGTCTTCTAGAACGGTGCTGATTATCTAATCAATTCAAGCTTTCAACTTTTTTATATAACCTTTCAAAGTTGAGAGCCGAGTCTCGCTCGGGCGCCGGCTACTCATGGGATTTTTGAGAGAGATCTTGTCAAAATCACATTGAGATTGGCTTTATTATGTTAATGAACAAAATTTCACATGTTCTAAGCAGTTTAAGTGCAAAATTGGGACCTTTACAGTTAACGGTGGGGGGTATCGTTTATCGGCGGGGGCCGAGTTTTTGATCAACTTGCATCCCGCTTTTAAATAGGTTTATGTTAGTAACTTTTGATAAAACAAATAGTTTCTTAAAGCTGACGTTCTAAGCTATCTAAATCTTATTAAAACTTTCTGATTTGACAAGTTTAAGGTGTTGAAAAATGAGCGGCAAGTTGGCTAAAAGTTCGGCCCCCGCCGCCTCCGATAACCATTTTACAGCCCGATTTTAAATAGTTTTTTGTTAATAACTTTTGATAAAACAAATAGTTTCTTAAAGCTGACGTTCTAAGCTATCTAAATCTTATTAAAACTTTCTGATTTGACAAGTTTAAGGCGTTGAAAAATGAGCTGCAAGTTGGGCAAAAATTGGCCCCCGCCGATAATCGCTACCACCCGCCTATCACTGTAATATGGTTAAATGGTACTCAATCAGCACCACTATAGGTCATGGTGATTATTGTATCACTGATACCGTAAGAGTACCTCCAAATGAAGCCTAACATAACGAAGGAAAAAAAGCCTTTAGACATGTGGGTTGGTTGAGAGCCGATCTCCTCTCCAAAGTGCACGTTCCACCGAATTGGGAGATCACCTCAGCTCTACTCCTCTTCGAGGGTTTCATCAATCGTTTAATCAATATGTATCCAATCTACAATTCGATTCCTCTCAAATGCGCGGTAAGTCACTTTTAAAGGAGTGGGCCACAATGATGGCCAATTCTAAGTGCGAATTTTTTTCCCAGAGAATCAGATTCCAGATTTTCCGATAACAACAATCTATTCAATATCACTTTTCGTCTCATTAAATGTTCTTGATAATGCTGATAATTAAATTCTTGATAATTAAATGTCCAGGATAATGCTGATAACCGTAGCCATACCTTGAAAATCATTTCTACATGATATGGCTATGGTTATTAGCATTATCCTTGAGAATTGTACCATAAGATAGCATTATCTAGGATAATTGCACCACGCAACAAGATAAAATTCTGATTTTAAAGCAGAAAAGAGCAAAAGAAAGACAAATTTTTAACTGAATAACATTTATTGTACATTAACAATTATAAATCAACTGTTAAATTCGAATCAGCCACCGCCGCTTCGAATTAAATAGGATTTGAGTAAGCTCGCAGGCGTTTTTTCGGGAAGGCGTCAACGGTGACGACCAAATAGCTCTTTTAACAATGATTTCTTCAAGCTTTCGATGTTTTTGTGTGGCTTTGAACAAGCTTTGGCTTCTAGAATCGACCATACTAAAAAAATCCATTGGGTTGTGGTCTGGAGAGCTAGATCTGGACCAAATAGGCTGAATTGAGCTCTTCCCACGCTTTCAACAGTGATTTCTTCAAGCTTTCGATATTTTTGCGGGCATTTGGTTGAGATTTGTCCCATACTCGATCATTTTGCTTGTTAAGAAGGCCTTCAACCGTGATCTTTTCATCTTTTCATCTGTGAACAAGATATTGTGATGGTCGATTCCATTGAAGCGCATCAATCTCTGTTCTGCTCTCAATTTTCCCTTGTTTTTAGCGGCCAGATTTCAAGAGCGACCCCGCAACATATAGGCAACTTTTCACAGCCGTCCGCGTGCCCGTTTAGCTCAGTGGCAGAGCGTCTGTCTCGTAAACGGTCGGGTAAACAGAAGGTCGACGGTTCAATCCCGTCAGGGGGCAATCTTTTTGCCTAAAATCTATTATTAAATCTAAAATGTCTAGAATACGTCTAAAATGTCTAGATTCTAAATTCCTAAAAGCAAAAAAAGCAAAAATTTCCCGAATTGGTTCACAATTCTATCTATTCTTGATCTTGATCATGATCATCTGAAACAGCAGCATTGCTTTGTGAAAAACGAGGACCTTTTGCCTTGTTTGAATCGGTTAAAGCCTGTTATAAATCTTCAGCCGTTTTGTAAGTAGAAACTTGATTCTTATAGTTGTTTTTTACCGTTGTTTTTTACCGTTGTTTCTTACCGTTGTTTCTTACCCTTCTTTCTTACCGTTCTTTCTTACCGTTCTTTCTTACCCTTCTTTCTTACCGTTCTTTCTTACCCTTCTTTCTTACCGTTCTTTCTTACCCTTCTTTCTTACCGTTCTTTCTTACCCTTCTTTCTTACCGTTCTTTCTTACCGTTCTTTCTTACCCTTCTTTCTTACCGTTCTTTCTTACCGTTCTTTCTTACCCTTCTTTCTTACCGTTCTTTCTTACCCTTCTTTCTTACCGTTCTTTCTTACCGTTCTTTCTTACCCTTCTTTCTTACCCTTCTTTCTTACCGTTCTTTCTTACCGTCCTTTCTTACCCTTCTTTCTTACCGTTCTTTCTTACCCTTCTTTCTTACCGTCCTTTCTTACCGTTCTTTCTTATTGTTTTCTTGTTTCTTATGATGATTATCTAGAAAAAAAGAATAGAATCGATAGAATCGACCGTGATCATCGTTTTAATGTAATTTGCATTAGTCAGTCAGGCATTAGTCAGCCAGGCATTAGTGTTGAACAAGTCAGGAAATGCAAAAGCAGCAAAAGCAGCAAGCAGCAATTGGATTCAGATTCTTGGAGTGATGTGTGAGCTTCCACGAGACGGAGTCAAGTATGCACTCGCTGATCCGAAAGCGAAACTTTTCGAGGCAATTCTGAGTCAAATCGATGACATGATGTCTTCACATACATCAATGTTGAGACAAGTATTTTACATTTAAAAAAAAGTTTATCTTTAGCATATTTAAACCAGGTTTTTCTCTACTTGATCGTCTTGGTAAAGACGAATTTTATCGATTGGAACCGTTTGGAGGGGATTTTGGGGTCAATGATAGAGAAAATCACGGAGAACAATGTGAAACATGGTCAGAGTTTTGGATGCTTTGCTTTTTGCTTTTTGAAATTGAAAAATATAATATCTAAATGTTTATAGTGTCTAAGAAGAATCAAAAACAAGAAAGTGTTGTTTAAAAGTTTTCTTTTAGCCCTATCCGCGCTTGATGTGGTGATTTGTGAGGGATTGATCGTTCAGAAGAAAGCCGGGGATGAATTGTGGAAATTATGGCTTTCGAAAGTCGATCAGATAATCGAATGGGATTTGGAGGCGACGGCATCGATTTGGACAATCTTCTTGCATCACTCGAGGAAAGAAGAGCAGAGGTTGGTGGAAAGGAAAAGATGAGCAAAGGTTAGCTTATCATTGGGATTGTTCATGTAATTGATCTATGTTCAATATTTATGGGCAATTTTTAGCTCGCAGCTCGTTTAGCTCTCTCAAAATTGGTTTATGAAACAAAAGTCGTCAAGAAAGCACTGAATAGGAGTAGGGAAAAACTCGACTTTCTAGATTCCTAGATTCCTAGATTCCTAGATCTCTAGATTCCTATATTCCTAGATTCCTAGATCTCTAGATTTCTAGATTCCTAGATTTCTAGATCTCTAAATTCCTAGATTCCTAGTTTCTAGATCTCTAGATTCCTAGATCTCTAGATTCCTAGATTCCTAGATTTCTAGATTCCTAGATTCCTAGATTTCTAGATTTCTAGATTCCTAGATTCCTGGATTCCTAGATTCCTAGATTCCTAGATTTCTAGATTTCTAGATTTCTAGATTTGATATTGAATTGATAATTGATATTGAACCTTCTGTAGTAAAGTAGTAGTAAGTGTGAATTCAGATAGTTTAAGTTTAGGTAGTAGTTGTATACAGTTGTAGTTTAAGAATGCTCTCAAACGTTCTACACAAATTAAGCTGAATGCTTTAAAGCTCAAGTGCTTATCGAATGATTCTCAAATAAATCTCGAATAAATCTCAAATAAAATCTCGAATAAAATGCAACTTAAGAAGCCTCCACCATGCTACACTACAAAGGTCCAGGTAAACCATATGTTGGCTTTGCTTGAAGGGCTTTTGGGGTACCATCCTTCCTATGTTCACCTCTCGAATTTAGATGGAAAGAATGGTCACTTGAGGCTTGGTCTCATTATCGAGAGTTCATCAAATCATCGCGAAACAAAGCAAAATTCTCCTCTTGTCATGCGCAAATCGTCTTTCTTAGTTGCTTGGCTCCACAAACTTTTCGTCCAATCGACTCGTTCTTTAAAACCCTCAAAGCGGTTCTCTATGATACGGTATGTCAAATTTTGTCAAGAATTACTTGCAAAACTCTAAAAATCAGGGATTTTGAGGGTTTTTTGATAAAATAGTATATGTTACGGCAGATCTAGACTGATTCTAGATTAGAAGTTTGATCTAGAAGCAAGCAAGCAACTCTGAAGCAAAGTCCGGCCTAGATGAAGTCGATTACTCTAAATCAAAGTCCGATCTAGATAAAGTCTATCACTCTAAATCAAAGTCAACCTAGAAGCAAGCCGATCACTCTAAATCAAAGTCCAACCTAGAAGCAAGCCGATCACTCTAAATCAAAGTCCGATCTAGATAAAGTCTATCACTCTAAATCAAAGTCAACCTAGAATCAAGCCGATCACTCTAAATCAAAGTCCGCTCTAGATAAAGTCTATCACTCTAAATCAAAGTCCAACCTAGAATCAAGCCGATCACTCTAAATCAAAGTCCAACCTAGAATCAAACCGATCACTCTAACTCAAACGTCCGATCTAGAATCAAGCCGATCACCCTAACTCAAACGTCCGATTAGATTTAGAGTGAATGCTCTAGATTGGACGTCTGATCTAGAGCCAGTCTAAATCCGACGTAACATATAAACCGTAACATATAAACTGTTTAGACACTGGACTCTTCAACAAAACTCGGCAAATCTTTTCCTCTCATTTTCACAATGATTGCTTTCATGTCGGAAGACAAAACCCTTTCAAGAATGGAGCAATTAGCTGAGAATCCAAACGAGTTATTGGTTAGGTGAGAAAATGCTGATTGTACTTCATAAAGTTAAGCTTTTTTAGCTTTATTAGCTTTAAATATTATACCTTTATTCCTTATTCTTGTATAATATCTATTTTTTTTTTGAGAAAATCAACATTAAGGGGAATCTTTGACATTGTTTGGAAAGCAACGGATGAGATGAAAAAACGAGACAAAGATGCTGAAGAGATTATCGTTTTTACTCTACAAACGATGGCCTACTGTTTGCGATCAGGTATTGTTGGGTTGTCGTTAGACTGAAGAGATTGTCGAATTGAATTGAATTGAATTGAATCCAGATCCAGATCCAGATCCAGATCCAGATCCAGATCCAGATCCAGATCCAAATCCAAATCCAAATCCAGATCCAAAAGAAAATTGAATCCGTAGTTAAACAGAAAACCCCAAAAAAAGAACAAGCAATTCAGCATAAACGAAATTTCAGACAAGTTGCCGAAATTCTCCGCCTTGCTTCGCTATTACACGCCAGTTGATCCACTAAATCTATTACTGAAGCTTCAAAAGTTGTCGCCTCATCTCTATGTGCATTGGTTGTCTTTCTTCTCGTTGACCCCCTCAGCGCTCTCCGTTTTCACCAACACTCTGACAAATTCGACTACTGATGGGTGAGGAAATTTTGTTGTCAGCCAATTGTGTTCCCCTCTCTTTCTTCCTTTCTTTCTTCCTCTCTTTCTCCCTCTCTTTCTCCTCTCTTTCTTCCTCTCTTTCTCCCTCCTCTCTTTCTCCTCTCTTTCTCCTCTCTTTCTCCTCTCTTTCTCCTCTCTTTCTTCCTCTCTTCCTTTCTTCCTTTCCTCTTCTTCGTCTTTCCTATTTCTTCTTGGTCAAAGAAGGCGCCGGTAGCACAGTAGTAGAGTATCTGTCCGGTAAGCAGGTCGATTCCCCCTCGTTCCCAAATTCTTTGCCATTCATTTCTTTACTTTATTAGATCAATTGTATCTACTAGTGAAGTTGTGAAGTGAATCTACAATTGTGAATCTACAAATTTTCAATTCTATCTACTAGTCTTTCAGTCATGTTGTGAATATCACGATGCTTCTCTTGATCGATTTGATTCAAAGTGAAAGCCTTTCGGATACTCATCTCTTTGCGTTGTTTACACCGAAAGAGGCCCTCAATCTACCATTTCTTTTGATTCAAATCGCTGAGAAGAAAATGATCGAGACATTTGTTGGGTGAGTGAGGGGAAAGTTTTATTTGATATGACTCTGGTGGGCTTCACGTTATGCACAACTCAGTCAAAAACTCTGGCAGAATGCTGGCCTGCCACGCGAGCGATCCGGGTTCGATTCTCGGCCTGGGAAAGAAAATAGAAATACAGTTGCGAGCTTTATTCAATACACGAAAAGTCTAGCGGTAGCTGTTAGAAATATAAGTGCTGGGAGTGGGACAAATGCGACCTTTTTTTGCGCACCCGGACATTTGCGCACCTTTTTTCCGGACTTTGCCCATTAGCGCACCTTTTTCGCGTTTTAAAAAAAGCTCTAAAAAGCTAATATTAACCAATTTCTATTCCAAAAGTTGTTTTTCTAGGTTCTAGGTAATTTTAGGGCGTAGAATCGAAATTTTGGCATATCAGAGCTTGTGGAAACAAACGGACGGAGTTATACAAAGAGAAAAATCGACACTAATTTGAGTCTGTAATTTGATCTAGCCGTTTTGTCTTTCGAATTGGTTCCGTCCGTTTGTTTCCACACGCTCTGTTATGTCAAAATTTCGATTCTACGCCCTAAAATTACCTAGAACCTAGAAAAACAACTTTTGGAATAGAAATTGGTTAATATTAGCTTTTAGAGCTTTTTTAAAACGCGAAAAAAGGTGCGCTAATGGGCAAAGTCCGGAAAAAAAGGTGCGCAAATGTCCGGGTGCGCAAAAAAAGGTCGCATTTGTCCCACCTCCAGTTTTATGAATTGATCAACGCATTTGTCCCACTCCCTAAGTACTTATTTCTCGGAAAATCTTTGCTAGCTGGGAGAAAAGGACATCATAGACATAAAATAAAGAAATTCAAATCTAAGAGTGGCAGTTTGAACTGTTAGCAGTTTGAAAGTGGCAAGAAAAGATCGCATAACAAAAGAGATTTCGCATAGCTGTTATGGTAATCTTTTCGTTTTACAATTTTTCTTTTAACTTTCACAATTTCAATTTTAGAGCATTGGATGAGAAACCATATGAGCATTTTCTTTCTTCAACTGCACAAGGAGCGCTAGAGTCTTTGAACTTGAAGGTAACGATTTGAAAAGAAAATATATGCTAAAAATTGACTCTTGCGTAGTTTCCGAGTATTTTCGGATATTTGAATCCGGATATTTGAGAAAAATCCGACTATTTTGAACGGGTCGTCACGCTTTGAGGGTCTATAACTTTGCCCAGAGATAACATTTTTGCTAGCCCGTCATATAATTCTACAGAGGACATTTCAAGCTTTCAAATGATACTAAATAGAGCTTGACTGGATTTTTCATTCCCATGAAAACCAGGCGACACAACACCCGAGTTGCAAAGGTCTCATCTGCTCAGAGTTGGCTCTGATCTTCTTGGACTGAATTATCCAATTAAGCTCTATTTGGTATCATTTGAAAGCTTGAAATGTCCTCTGTATAATGATATAAGAAGTTAGCGAAAATATTGCCTCTGGACAAAGTTATAGACCTTCAAAGCGTGACGACTCGTTCAAAATACCCGGAAACTACGCAAGAGCCGAAGCTTCAAACTGTTCATCTCTTTTTTATGGGATTTCCTGCATCATTTGATTGTTTAATATATCAATAATGCAGTTTGAAATGTATCGTTGCAAATCTGAAATGTATAAAATAGAGCTTGATTGGATAATCGAGTCCAAGAGAATTAGAGCCAACTCTGAACAAATGAGGCTTATGTAACTCGGGTGTTATGTCGCCTGGTTTTCATGGGACTGAATTATCCAATCAAGCTCTATTTGATATCATTTGAAAGCTTGAAATGTCCTCTGTAGAATTATATAAAGAGCTAGCAAAAATATTATCTCTGGACAAAGTTATAGGCCTTCAAAGCGTGTTGACCCATTCAAAATAGTCGGATTTTTTCAAAGTACCTGGATTCTTTTAAAATACCCGGAAATTACGCAAGAGTCTAAAAATTTGATTCAAATATTAGCTGAAAGCTGAAAGCTAATGAAAAAGTTATGATAAATTGAAGAACGTTCTGAACTGTCAAACGTCATAGCATCTAAATTTTAGGCCGCTTTCGACACACTGACGTTAACGAAAAGGTTCATCGAGAAATTCGAGAGAATCCCGTGTGAAGAAGAGCTAAAACGGCTAGACGAAGGAATTAAAGGAATCAGTCGAAAATTGCACGAGAAATTCCTCGAAATCCTCTCCCAAACTGGTCAAAACCCATTCGAGGGTGTCGCAGCGTTGACCACTTCGAGTGCTCCGGAGTTCTTCGCGCTCACTTTGAAACATTTCGACAATTGTCCAATCGATTCGACTCTTCAAAATGTCACTCATCTACCAACACAACATTTATATGATATTTTCGAGAGCTTGGTTAGTTCTACAATCATTTTTTTAGTCCTTTTTTGTTTGTTAAGCATCCATCACAACGAGAGCACTTCTTCACGATTTGTTTAGAATCTATTGAAGCTATTGTGATATCAAAATCAGGTAAATTTAAAGAATTTTACTGAATAATGAAGAAAATGGAAGAAAATGAGAGAAAATGAGAGATTTTTATAGATTTTTACGAAATTTAGCCTTACCTGAAGAGCAACGAGGAGCCAATGCAAGGGCTCAAGAGATTCTCGAGATTTTAGAAGATTTCATCTCACAAAATCCTCATTTAGCTCTTCATTTGTATTCAAAGATTGGACCAATCGTAAGAAAAGAAAGTCGACAATGAAACTTGACGAAAAAATCCTTTAGTTAGTGACATCGAATCTGACTTGGTCCGATTTCAGCGCTGAATCGATCGACTCTTTGATTCAATACTCCACCGGACTATTAGTAGATCATCTAAAATTTCTGAAATTCAAATTACTTCAGAGAAAACATCCACTAAATGTTCTTGGTGATCGAATCGAGGGACTTGGCTTTTTGCTCGGTTCACCGTCATCAAGAGAGATCTTTCGATCGAACCCTTTCTGCCACTTGCAATCGCTTAAAGTTCTTCTGCACGAGCTTGCCTATTTTCTTGCCACAGTAAGTTGTAAAGGTTTTAAACATTTAACTGTGATAGGTTAAAAGAAAAGAACCAACATTGCTAATCTTGTGTCGAATAGAGTCCAGTGGATAAAATGTAGCATATATTGGGTTGGTGAATTGAAAACTGCCGGACTTTGAACTAAAATTTATTCAACACAAAACTGTTAATTCATTCCAAATAATTTCCATTATTATTGACGATTTCTGACCATTTTAAAGGCAATTTGCGGATTCCTCTTTCGTAGTAGGATTTTGGTTTGTGTGTGAGACAAGTGTGAGACTCAAAATGGAGGACTGGAGATGGAGACTGGAGATCCCAGTTTGAGCACTTTCTTCAAAAGAAATCCATTTTGGTGTCAATAGAAAAGTTGTAGAGAATCAAAAATTAGGCTTATAGCCAAATTTCTAAAAAGATACACTTAGTAGTTTTGCTTAAAATGCAAGTTTTGTTGCAAGTTTTGTGAAAATTCGTAAATTTGGCATTTCTTGAAAACCAGTTTTTGAATCGTTCTGAAAATTTGGATATAAGCTTGTTTTTTGATTCTCTACAACTTTTCCATTGACACCAAAATGGGTTTCTTTTGAAGAAAGTGCTCAAACTGTCACATATGACAATAGCCCGCAGTTTTCAATTCACCAACCCAATAAAATGTGCAAATCTAAAGAAAGTCAACGAAAAAAGTATTGGGTTGAACCGAATGAAACTGCCCTTTTCTACATAACAACTTTATTGCTAAAGTACTGCGAAAAACAACAATTATTCTATTCGTCATTGTTTTCAATGATCCTTTCAATGATTTCAATGATCCGCTTTTCCTTCAAAGGTAAGAAGAGAAATGGAGAACCAGGAAAACAAGCAAGAAAACAGGTTTTAAATAACATGAAAATACATTGATTAGATAACAATCAACATTTAATGACAAAAGATTTAGCGGCGGTTTCATTCGGTTCAGCCTAGACATGGGCGTTGTAAAAAAGGGACCCGAGTCGAGCCACGTGAGTCACGAGTCAGTTGAGTCACAAGTCAGCCGAGTCAAAAGTCGAATCGTCAAGGACCTCTAACTCGACTCAACTCGCGGCTCATGTCTGGTTCAACCTAATAGAATAATAGAATATTCTCTCTAATAGTAGTGCACTCTAAGCGTCGCCTAAATTCCTCTAGATCTCGAGAACCGCTTATCAGAACCTATCGATGTGGGGTCGGAAAATGTAGCTGACGATGAGATCTAGTGGGGGATTTGAGTGTCGAGCTTCGGTGAAAGCTTGAGAACTGTAAAATAGTCACCAACTCGGCTCGGCGGGGTGCAGTACTATTAGAGAGAATACGGTATAAAAAGTAACAATTAGCCAGCAAGATCAATAGTCAATAGATCAATAGATCAAAGTCGAGCTCATGTCATTTGTCAGTTCATGTCATTTGGCCACTTTACTCTGTTGACCTCCCATTGTTAGTAAAAAAGCGGTACCGGGGAGTTTTCCCACGTACCGGGGACTTTTCCCACGTACCGGGGACTTTTCCACGTAAACTTGCAGATATTGATTCGCATATTAAATTGACATGGATTAAAATGACAAAAACTAAATACTTATAGCTCTGATTCGTGCAAATTTTCATGCAAATGCAAATTCATTGCAAATTAGAAATATGAGAACTCTAGATTCAATTGATCCTTTTCAGTCCACTCACGAGCCATTCAACACGGGCGACATCTCAGGTCTTGACATCACGGGTCTTTCTAGTGAATCAGAAAAATTTAGTGAGTACATAAAGAAAGTGAATTTGCAAAAATTTCATTTAGAACATTTATCTGAGCTTTTCGATATTGTACAGTATATTGTGATGTTATTTCGGAAACAAAAAATCGACATGGCAACTCCGGGAGTGCTAAAGTTAGAGAAAACGATTCGTGGTAAACGATTTGGTGGTCGTAAAGTTTTTGATTTCAAATCTTTAGCGATTCTTCGCCATCCTGTTCTACACGCGATGGCTTTAGTGCCAGAAACGGCTATGAAGTGAGTAGGGTGAAAGAAAAAAGTAAAGCATTCGATTATGCTGGAAAACGGTTCATTCAAAACTGGCATACTTTAGTGGAACTTTGGCATACTTTAGTGGAAAATTGATATACTATAGAGGGAAATTTCAGTACAAATTTGTTCAGAATGGAATGGAAACCTCGAGCTGAAGTTAGAGGAGAGACTCAAGTGGTTATTCCGTTGGTGAACATTCATCTCTTGTGCAACGTTGATGTGCTTTCTGATTTCACTTGGAGAGTTGGTTTTAAATTGATGTTGACAAGATCGAATTATCCATCAGCCATCATTTTGACTTTGGTCTGACTTTTCATTGTCTACTAGGCCAAGAGACAAGCCAAGTTGGTTTTAAATTGATGTTGACAAGATCGGATTATCCATCGGCCATCATTTTGACTTTGGCTTGCCTTTTAGGCCAAGAGTCAAGCAAAGTTAAACTAAAGTCAAGTCAAGGACAGACTTTGGAACAACCTGTCAACCCAATAACTACCGTAAAGTACTCGTAAAGTACGTAAAGTACTACCGTACTCCTCCCCCATAATGACGGGGTGGAGTGCTTTGTAGTGTAGCTGTAGCTTGTAGTGTAGCTGTAGCTTGTAGTGTAGGTGTAGCTTTGAACTTGTTTTTCTCGACACTGGTTTATGCTACAATGCTCGCTTATGTATCAAAAAATAGCTGAAATTCAGGGCTACTTTTGGTACTAAATACACATCTTTTGAAAGTATCGGTGCTTTGAAAATTAGCAAGGTGTCTAATGAAATCTAAAAAGCTTTTTGCGACTACGCGACTATTACATTTACGGCGATGGAATGATCAGTTAAACCTCTCATCTCTTTAAATAAGAATCACTCTTAAATGCTAAAGAACTAAGCTTTATCACTACTATTTTCAGATACGCTGGCTTGGATGGACATCTCGGCAACAATTCGAGGATTTATGGATGAGCCTATTCGGCGTTCTCTCAAGTACACCAACTGGTACTGAGTTGACTCAAGAGAATGCATCGGTCAGTGAAAAATCAAAGGAACATTTTGATAAATCTCTTTTAGCAATACACGGAGCAAATCCTAGCCTCAGCTAATGCAGTCAATAGTCTGACAGAGCTTCTCTTGTCCTCATTGCTTTATCCAGAACCGGGAAACACTTTCAACAGCAATTTTGTCGTGAAACATCGCGAAAGAACGGAAACTCATCGAAACAAGTTTGTTATTAATGATCTTACAAGTATTTATTTATTTAGATCAATGAAATTTAGATCAATGAAACAAGCAAGTGCCATCAAAGCTCGATTGATCGACGACAAAGATCCGCAAACGATCTTCAACAGAAATATTGAGAGACTAGTAAGTTTAGTTGCAAATAGAATATGTGAAAAATATCGTATTCTCTCTAATAGTAGTGCAGAGCCGAGTTGATGACGATTTTACAGTTCCTAAGCTTTCACAGAAACTCAACACTCAAATCCCCCACTAGATCTCATCGTCAGCTACATTTTTCCGACCCCACATCGATAGGTTCTGATAAGCGGTTCTCGAGATCTAGAGGAATTTAGGCGACGCTTAGAGTGCACTACTATTAGAGAAAATACGGTAAATTGGATACGAACTACAGAAAAGGTTTACGCAAACGCAAACGCAAACGCAAGGTTTACGCAAACGGGAGAATGTCTTGAAGTCGGGTGAAGTAGAGAATCTCGGGAGAAAAATTGTTAAACAGCACTTGTTAAACAGTTCAACTTTACTTAAAACTTTGAATTTGGTACCAATTTCCTTTTAAAGGACAAGCAAGAGCTTGTTAATCTTGTGAAGGAAAAGTTGAAATCAGTGTGGGTGTTGAGCTTAGTCTCTAGTTGAGTCTCTAGCAAGCTTTAGGAGAGTGTTTGGGAGTGTTAGAATTCGACTGTGTTCCTCGTGAGTAAGTAATCGCTCAAGTAGGTGTTTAGGTGACGCTTAGAGTGCACTATTATTAGAGAGAATACGGTATTTGTTTTGTAAAGATGGGATTTATCAGAATGTTTATCAGAATGTATTTAGATTCACGAAGTTGGTTCAAAGTATGGCCCAGGCCAACTCTCAGCGCTTGCCTTGTGGAATCTGACTGGAGTATTGAGAGATGAAAAGATGCCAAATAGTCCCTCAAATAGTCCGGTGAGTACTGCGATTTTTATGAGCTTATTGCGTTGATGCAGTGAAAATGAATCATACTTTCTCCAAACTCTTTTAGAGGCGCAATTAATGCATCAATTGATTTACGACCAAGACTTTATTAGAAAGTTCAATTATTTTTCTGCAAAAATAACTTTGAAATGGGTTGTTTTGGATTTTTGCAGGCCCACAAAGTCGAGCAGTTAAAAGAAGCAAAGAAGTAAAATCATTTTCAATTGTCGTATTGGTCGTACTTCAAAAAATTCTGCTAACTCACAAAAAGTTAGTGTGCGAAAAAAGTCACGCACTGTGAGAGGGTACCGATGGGGCAGATGATTATTTAGATCACAATGATTATTTAGATGAGGCAATGATTATTTAGATCAAATATAGCACAATCAATAGTCTAAAGCGAGAAAATACAATAAAATATTAGGGTGATGCAAAAGAAACTGCCGATTTGGCGGTAAATTCAAAAAAAGATCGCGTTCGATGGTGACATGATCACAATGGAATATTTTCGCAAGATCTCGAGCAGATTGGCATGGATCGGCCTGAATAACGTCCCTCAGTTTGGCTTCGTTCACGACTTCTGGCCCCCTCGAACCGTGCTCGTAATCTTCCAAACTAGCCAAACTTGCGCAACTAGCCATAACAAATAAGTTTCTTCTAAGTCGTAATCTTTATGATGTTGGTTTCTCTGACATCTTTAAGTCATTTTGTTGCACTTATTGAGATCTACAAAATGAAATCAAAATCATAAAGATTAGCCGACTTAGGAGAAAGTTATGGGGAGTTGCGCAAACGACCCAGTTGCGCAAATAACCTTGTTGCGCAAAAAATGGGAAATTAGCCTACCCCTCGCTTTTAAACCTTGCAAAATATAAAAATAACAAATCCAACATTTCCATTATTGCCAACCTAATAATTAAACTTTTTATTTAAAGCAAACCCACACCTTTATCGGCTAATTCTTCATTTATAAAAGGAAATTTCAAAAAGGTGGACTTTTCCGTCAAACCAATATAACCAAAAAATTAATTTTAGAGGATCAGAGCTTCAACCTCCGAATACTTGTTGCGGATGAATTGCGAGCTTGGGACACGGCCTCCTCTGTGCGCGCACTTTTCGAGAATTATTCGCATTGGCTGAGTCGAGGATTGGAGTTCATCTCCGCTGCCGCTTCCATCAGCAACTGTTCGATCAGTGAGTCGTAAAGTCTTGTCGAAAATCTTGGTTACAAATCTTGCTTACAAATCTTGCTTACAAATCTTGCTTACAATCTTGCTTAATAACCTTGCTTTCAAGATTGATCCACAAGCCTCACAAAAACAAGTACAGTAGTGGACAAAGACTTAGCATAATTTAGTTTTTTTTATAATAAAGCTGAAAAAGCTTCAAAATTCTCGAAACAGTCGACTGGTGCACCCTCAGAATGGTAGCAATCGGATCCTGTCTCTCACCGGCTTGATGAAGAGCCACAATCGTATCCCGAATAGCAGGCTGCAGTTGTTTTCAGGACTCATTGACTGAAATTAATAAAATAATAAATTTCAATCAAATTATAGCTCAAATTAAGAAAAAAAACACAGAAAATAAATCAAAATTACTGGGAAATGCAAAATTATGCGAGGTCTTTGTCCGCTACTGTATATACTAAAGTTATTGTTTTTTTGGCAGCACATACGCTAGCTGATTCCCTGTTTTTTGGGAAACAAAGTATGAATCTATCCCAAAATCAATCGTCAAGTAAAACTGTGCTCAGTGTTTATCCATTTTAGATGGCTCTGGCTGTCGGATCTATTTGACGACTCCTCTTCCTATACATTTCTCCTATGAGCAAATTGAAAACATCTACAACAGTCGAATCTTGTCTCATCATCCAGATCTAGGATTCTTGATTTATTCAATTCTTAAATCAGTGACAGTTGTTGGGATGGTTGGTTTGTCTAGATCTGTTTCTGGGGTCTTTTCTAGGAATCGGTTTGAGCCAAAAATGACCGAAACGGAGCTGGGAAAACAGTTAATGATTTACATCGAGACTGGATTGACATCATCATATACAGCTGTCAGGTGTAGTAATGTTTTTTTTTTGGAAAACAAACCTCAGTTATAGGGAAACCACTCTGTATGGAGTTTTCTACTTTCTTCAATCGGGATGGCTGGGGAATCGCTTCGACTGATCATTCAATACACATCGGCTTTTCTGATTGATGAGATTGGGAAACAATTGAATATTACTGATCCAGTGTTGATAAACAGGTGAACATTTTGAGAGATTGTTCACAACGATCGCTTTGGCCCGATCCTGCTAGGATTCTAGTAGTTGAAGCAGCAGTTAAACCAGCAGTTAAACCAGCAGTTAAACCCAGCAGTTAAACCAGCAGTTAAAAGGCGTAAATTTACTAAGTTTTTAGTGTCCCATCTTCAATCAGCTACGACTGATTCTCTGGGCAACAGCTTTCGTATAATGGAAGAACCAAAAGTTCAAGGGACTTTCAAACAAACACTCAATCAAGTACATAGTGGAAAAAGGGTTTAAAAGACTAGGCAATAGCAGGCTAAAAGACGGTACGTCGTTGGTAGTATTGCGATGTACGGTGCGACGTATATAGGGCCGGCGCTCATATATAAGGTAGGCGCTCGTATACAAGGCTAACCCAGAGGCCGGCGGAAAGAACTTGTTGTTTAGTAAAAGAAAAAGGGCCGCCAAGTGAGAGCACCGACTGTACATCGCGGTACTAACAACCGACGTACCGTCTTTTGTATGAGTGTGTAGTGCTGGTGTTTTTTTATACCATCGTGTAGCCCAATTGAAGAGCTATATTTTTGATAGGAGACTCGCAGAAAGGGCCTTAGTAAATGGCAATTCCATTCGGTGCAATTTTCATGGTCCCGAAAAACTGGTGCTATGCGCATTGAGATGGACAGTGGGGGTAGCCTCAATTTTGCCAATGGCATCTATTTTCTCTGGCGTTTTCGACAACGCTGTTTGAATTCAAATAGTTTCAAGGCTTAACCTTAGTTTCTTTCTAATACACATTCGTTTAGAAATGGCGGGTATTCATGCGGCAAATAGGCTAAGCTAAATAGATAAGATGGAGAAGCAAGATAAATATCTTATGTTTTGGAAGCCCTTTTGTTACTTTTCGTTACTTTTTGTTACTTTATTATCGTTGTTATAAATGTTAATTAAAAGCGAAAGTAAAGCAAAGCAATTAAATTTTAAAACAAAGCCTTAAAACTATTTGAAATTTAATCAGCGTTGTCGAAAACCCAAGAAAATAGAATGCCATTGGCAAAATTGAGGCCACGCCCACTCCCAACATGCATAGAATCAAAAAGCTATAGAGTATGAAATAACTATATACCCGTATTTTCTTAATAGTAGTGCACCAGGAGCGTTGCCTAAATTGCCTCGAGAAATCTCGAGAACCGCTTATCAGAACCTATCAATGGGGGGTCGGAAAATGAAGCTGACGATGAGATCTTGTGGGAGATTTGAGGTTGAGTTCCTCTGGGAAAAAATTGGAAACCGTAAAATAGGCATCAACTCGGCCTCGGCCGGGCGGGGGAGGGAGGGTGGGCACGACAATTAGAGAAAATACAGGATACCTGTATTTTCTCAATAGTAGTGCACTCTAAGCGTCAGCCTAAATTCCTCTAGATCTCGAGAACCGCTTATGAGAACCTTATCGATGTGGGGTCGGAAATGTAGCTGACGATGAGATCTAGTGGGGGATTTGAGTGTTGAGTTTCTGTGAAAACTTGGAAACCGTAAAATAGGCATCAACTCGGTTTCGCCAGGGTGCACTACTATTAGAGAAAATACGGTAGCGAAAAGGTACAATTAGCCAGCAAGATCAATAGTCAATAGATCAATAGATCAGTAGATCAATAGATCAAAGTCGAAAAGATTCAAATCATCGCTTGTATCGTCGATTTCCTTTAGCATCTGTAACGACGTTTGGTGTTCAATTCTCCCAAAAGCTCGGCTATTTCTTAATTCAGACAAGCATTCCTCAAACTTTTCAACTTGGAATGCCACTAGCAAAATTGAGGCCACGCCCCACCCAGCATGCATAGAATCAAAAAGCTATAGAGATATGGGATGTAGAAATATCTATATATTAAAAACAGTCGGCTCTAACCTTTATAGAATCTTTATAATACTATTTTAAGATTTATGTAAAAAAATAATAACTTATCTTTGGACCTTTACTTAATTTCAAGAATGGACTGGCCATTTTTCTCAAAAACTCTTGCTTCTATAGTTTTTCCAATATCTAATCTTTATAGAAACTCTGCGACGTTCTCCTTAGTCGTCGAACTTTACCTCACTGGTTGCTAGAATTGGTCACAACAGGGATCGAGTCATTGATCTTTCACTCAATGCTTTTGCTGATCAATTTGCAGCCGTGGCAAGAGGTAATAAGATAAATTGGAGGTAATAAGGTAATAAATTCACATGTGTTTTAGAAAGCTTTCAAGACTACCAAGTTCACAACCGGAAAAGTTTCCATTCGCATTGCGGATCTTCGTCGATTGTGTCTTTAGAGGTAAACTCTTAAAGAAAAGCGTTGTAAAAGCTTTTTGGGAAGAGATTGATCCATCGGAGGAACAGCTACAAGAAATTTCAAGTTCTGCTGGAGTCGGCGTTTAGTGTGTAGGTTCTTTACTGATTTTCCTTCTCTGGCTTTCTTTTCTTTCTTTTCTTACTTACTTACTTTCTTTCTTTCTTTCTTTCTCCTTTCTTCTTCTTCTTCTTTCCCTTTTCTCTTGGCAAGCTAGGGTACCGGATAGCTCAATGGCTAGAGACTCAATGGCTAGAGGCTCAATGGCTAGAAGCTCAATGGCTAGAGGTCTCAATAGCTAGAGGCTCAATGGCTAGAGGCTCAATTGGCTAGATGGCTATAGGCTCAATGGCTATAGGCAGGTCAATGGCTATAGGCTCAATGGCTATAGCTTAATGGCTAGAGGCTCAATGGCTAGAGGCTCAATGGCCAGATGGCTAGAGGCTCAATGGCTATAGGCTCAATGGCTAGATGCTCAATGGCTAGAGGCTCAATGGCTAGAGCAAAGGTTTCCAGATAGCCCGGAGAGCAAAAGATCGAGGGTTCAATCCTATCTCCAGAAATCTACCCTTTCTTGCTAATTCCTTTACTTCTTTATTAAGCAATTTTACCTATTGTTAACAATCCTATACAATTTCTGAAATAATCTAAACTTATGGCTATCTCTCGAAATACTAGATCTTCCTAATCTAAATTGACAATTTTCAGCTTAAAACGTTGTGAATTCCGGACGCCGAACTGTTGGGGAAAGCCTTCCGCCAGTTTTTGCGAAGGATTTACAAAGATGAAATGGTACTGTAACAAAGCTTAGCTTCAGCTAAAAATCGATTCAGGCTCTGGAAGTGATCTTGGACAATTTCATTCCAATTCAAAACGACAACTACCTGAAAATGCCAAAGCATATGTTTGTGATGATGTTTGAGGTGGGCTTTGACATTACCATAAAACCAATAACAATTTCAGTTCTTCGAATTGTTACGGAACAAACAAAAACTCGCCTCGTGCCTCGAGTTGACCGAGTTTTTGGCTCAACGGATTGCCATGATTGTGCGTTACCTGAGAGAATCTCGAAACTCTGCACCGTCTCACTCCTTTTACAGCAGCTAGCGGCGATCCAGATGTCTATTGCAGGTAAAACAACTCTACACTAACAATTTTGCTACGAAATTTCACTGCATCGGCCATAAGTTTTTATCATACAGCACCACATTTCTACGAATTACTTTCAGATTTCATCTCCTTCTCGAGTTTTTGATCAAGAAGGGATTGATTGGTCGCTTTATCGCGATTGGATACTTCAGAAAAACTGCTGAATTCGGTGAGTGAAAAATAGATAGCATAAATAAAAGGTAAGGATATGAAAAGGTTTTAAGAAAATGTGTTCCAAAGGTTGTTCCTAACCTGGCTGTCGTGGCCCAGGGGATACAAATCTCCTGGGCCTGTTGCAAAAGCCAGACCCAGATCTGAATCCGGGTCCACAAGACGATGCGGATTATGCAGTGATCTAGCGGAAGTCGCTAGTCGCTAGATTTTCGTCGCTGGTCGGGTCCTCGATCGATTGCGTGGCTGCCCCAA